CCACAGACTAAGTCAGTTCCTTCTTCCCCGGCTGCCAGTGACTAGAGACTTCCCAGCTCGTTCCCACAGAAGCAACCATAGACACATGCAATTCAAAGGCAGAGGCTACTCAGGGAAAGGTCTGGGATTTAGAGAGGCAGCAGATCGCTTGTGTGACACTGGCCTTCATGGGATGCCTGCGAAAACGAGATTTTGAAAATTTAAACTTACCTAAAATTCAAGCTGAAATTTCTAAGTTCCCCCACATACTTGAGTGCTATCTAGGCAGTGGGAGGGTGAGGGGAGCATCAGCCAAGAAGGCCTCTGGGGGGCTGGGCAGACGTTCAAATTCCAGAGCAACCTTCCACACCCTGGGAGTTAAAGGGCACGGAGCTGAGGCAGACTGGGCACGGCCTTTCCCGGCTCCGTGCTGCCGGTGGGCACTCCCGCCTGCAGCCACAGCCAGCGCCATGGTCAGCTGCCGGTGCAGCCGCAGGGGGCTGGGGCGAGCGCTGCTGTCTAGGTGTTGCAGCCCGGGAGCTCCGTGTGGCTGCGGGCACATCTCTAGATCCCAGCCCGAGTCAGGGAAGGAGCTAGATGGGAAAAGGGAGCGCCTTCTCCACGTGGGGGCAAGGCCACGCCACGTGAGCCAGCGCCACGTGAAGTGTGGTCCCAGACCGACGCATCGAGACCGTTTGGCAACCCTCCAGAAATGTGCCTTCCCGGTCCCCACCCCAGAGCCACTCAATCTGGAACTCGGAGCAGAGTGGGAGCAATCTTTTATTTAGCACGTCTGCCAGAAGTCCTGAAACTTCCCTAGTGGGAGGACATGTCCCTGAGAACCTAGGGGTCCCAGGAACCTTGGCCACATCGCACCTTAGCTGTTCCTGCTCCGAGCGGCGCTAGCTGCCAACGGGGCTCCCCCACCAGCCCAGCCCTCCTCAGCCGGCTTCAAAGCTAGACCCCGGCTCACAGCGCTCCGAGGGCGCCTCATCTGGGGCCCCGCTGCAGCTGCCGCCTCTCTGGCTAGACTCACGGAACAAGCCTTACTTTTCAACTTCATCATTAGGCGGAAATCTATGCTGTCACTTCTACGTTTTTCTCATCAATTTTTTGTTAATAGCCCCACTATCTCCCCTTCCTATTCTAGGACTACTATGGTCTATGCAGAAAAGACGAACATCTGAGGATCCTTTTCATGTTTCAAAGATAGCAAATTGAAAATTATGCACTAAAAGGGGCTGGGTAAATACAGTTATGACATATTGATAAGGTGGGGTATAAGCTTTCAAGTCACACTACAGAAAAATGAGAACACATTCCATTCTTCAACATGATTTTAGGGTTGTATTACACTTAATTTTTGAAAAATTACCACAGCTAGGACACGGTTCTGGTGTCACATGCCAGAAACCCAGGCATGGACAGCTGTGGCCTGCCCTCACCACAGTAATGCTCGCCTGCTCCAGGCTCTGTGCCCCGCACATGCTCACACCTGGCAGGGTGCCAGAGGGAAGGCCGGGGACGCGTGGGCTCCACAGGCCTCCAGATGCCGGGCTGGGGTCTGCAAGGGCAAGGCAAGAGCGACACTAAAGTGAGAAGGGACACCGGTGTGGGCTGTGTGTGAGGTGACAAGACTCTGCTGACACGGGAAACAGGGCGACGGGACACTGACCCCGCAGTAAGACACAGGCAGCCTGGACGCGAGGAGCTCAGACAGCGACTCCTGCTGCCCTCGTAAAGACCCCGCATTTAGTACTCAGGAGCTGTTTCCAAAGAGAAGCTCCCAAGCAAAGGGCCAACCTCTTCTGACCAGGTGGGTGTGCTACTTTAGATTTATGCCCAAGAATCACTGGGCAACCAGACGGTGCGGCAAACCTGGGCGTTAGACTCCTTCTTACCCCGTTGCAGGTAAGAACAGCAAAGCAGCTGGGCCCCGAGCACGTTACTGCAAGATACCCTCCCCCCCCTTCGCAAGCACACACGGGCTTCCTTCCTTCTTTACTTGATTAAACTAAGGCAGTGGCATGTGGCCAAAGCAGCACTTTCTCCCCTTGGCCTTCCCACTCCAGTCTGAGCAAGCTGCACGCACAGCTGGATGCTTTGACAGCACATCCTTGAGGAAACTAGACAATCCCTTGATTTACTGACCAGGACTCACACCCACTCCCATTTTGGTGAGCTGATATTGTAGATATGATGAAAGCTAGAGGAGAGACGCTGCTTCAGCTAGGCTCACACATCTCGAACAGGTTAACTCTCTCTGAAGGGCAGGGGGAGAGTTACGTATAAATAAATCAATTCTGCTCACGTCTCCTGTCAACTGCTTTCACTGAAGACTCTGGGAAAAGTAGAACCATAGCTTTAAAACAGGGCTCTCATTGCCCACGTTCTCAAACACAGCAAACACTACATGACCCTAAAGGGACTAGTTAAGAAAGTCAAAAAGAAAAAAGAACATCTTTTCCAGTTGCATATCAAACTTATGCTTTGTATTCTTAAGGTCTTTCCCAAACTGATCAGGACATAGGCCATTTTGTCCTAAATTAAAACACATCTATTTCAAAACTGCAAAGTTTCATGTGATTTTCTCCTAGTCTGTATCCTTATGAAAGACAGAACCAAAATTCCAATCCCTTATTCAACCCTCTTTAGAGTTGCAGATAAAAGCACAGGAGTGTCGCCATGTATGGACTCACATGCATGGATTCTCCTGCAGGGGAAGCTTGTATCACGTATTTGGGAAGCGGAAGTGTTTCAGCCCAGATGAGACGCGAAGGCACCTATAAAACTCTATAAACTGCAAGATTATCTGCAGGGAGAAAAGCTGGGTCCTTGTTGTTTACATGATTTGCAGACAAGACACTAGAAGCTAAGTCTCGCTGCATCCACTTCACTGCGGAGTAAAGATCTACTACTCCCCCCACTTCCTAGCAGGACAAAGGACAAATAAAATAACGATGTCAACAGAAGTGTGTGAGCAAGCACTGGAAGGTCCTACCCTGGGCTCCCAATCTTCCGCCTTCCCTTCATTCCTTTATATATCAAAAGCCTCCCACTGAGTTGTCCTTGAATGACAGAACAATCTCCATAAAAAGGGAAGGTTCTAGGTTCCCTACCCTGCCTGGTGAGGCATGGAGCTGAGTGCCAGGAGAAGATACAGAACACGTGAAGAAGACTGGGAAGAGAAACATGAAAAACATGAAGCAGAGAGACATGTAAAGAAAAATGGCCTGCTTGCTTCTCTGTTTTGGACCTAACACCAGGGACTTGGGGGACTCAGAGGAAAAACATGAAGTTGCAAAGATAGAGAAGACTTGTAAGAGATATGGATGAGAATCTGCGGGAGGTGGGCAGTGGCAGCCAGCACTGACTTGTGCTGTGACTTGCGCCTTCCCCCAGGTCTGCCTGGCCTCTCCTGCTCCTTTCTCAAGGGTCCCCAGTCCCTGCCAGAAGGTAACTTAGACTTGGGGCAGCTTTGGAGCCCCAATGGCCCCGCTTTGGCTGGGCAAGAAGATGGGAGAACGGGTTGTTTCATGGGGAAACACGCTCCTCTCTCTAAGTCCATGTTTATACGCACTCATTCTGTTAGGCCGTTTTCATTAAGAGACTGCTTTGTCTTTATGTGGCAGGGGCAGAATCCCTTCAAAGCAGGCAAGTCTGGGGCCCCAAGGTGCCCCTCAGTCTTCCCTCTAATGCCAGGTATCACACAGAATACCCAAAAAATTCAGAAAGTCCTTTAAGATGCTAAAAATTTGATAGGAAATAATAATTTCAGGCATGTTCAGTAATAGAAGAGAAACCCAGATAAAAAGCTCTAACAGTTATGAGGGAAGACTATTTCCTGCATAGAGGGTCCAAGAAAACCTCATCCCACCGCAATGTGGATTAAAATGTGGATCCTGGAAGTGGTGATGAAGTAAAACATCTCAGTGCAAGGACAGTGAAGGCACAGACAGGGAAGAGCATGGAGTATACAGGGAGCGTGTGCAGTGGAAACTTCCACTTGAAAATTTTATACACGAAGATTTTAAGCTTTTTAGCTAGAAGAGGAATGAAAATTCCAGTATTCAGAAAGAATGAATCAAGAACGAGAATACCTAAAATGTTATCTGACCTGAGTCAAAACAGAAGGCGATTGTTGCTGTTTCATTTTCCACACGCCTGTACGTGCGCTTCCTCCTGGTATCCCCTGCTCAGGAAGTGCCCTGCTGCTCCCTGCCAGGAGCTGCCCTCACGCCTGACCCTTGACTCCAGTGGCGTCCTTCCTACTGGCCTCAAGCGGGAGAAGAGGCCCTCTGAGGGCCGGGCTTGTCTTCTTGTCTGCAGCCTCAGCCCGGAAGTGCCTGACACAGCAGCCACTTATTAAAGGCTGGTGGGAGGGAAGGAGGCAGGGCAAGAAGGAAGTAAGGTCTGACACGAAGATTACCCAGGCAGCAGTAGCCGGAGGATGCACAGAAGGCAGAATCAGGAGCCGAGGAGAGAGGATCGGGTGAAAGCAGGGAAGTGTCGATCTCAGGCGCGTGACGGTGGCCACTCATGAGACCTCTCCATCATCTTTGCTATTTTCCTCAGTGAGTGATGGAAATGTTAAGTGAAATATAGCCTACATACAACACTTAGCACAGCCCCTGGCAGAGAGTAAGCATTCAAAATACAAGCTATTATTATGAAGTTGTTTACAAGGCCTTTCCAAGAGTTCTAAGCATTACAACTGTAAAAGTCATCAGGAAGTCTGATTTCCAACAAGACCCAGACCTCACCATTTATCTCTGCAATAAACAAACATACTGTCTTCCCTAAGCACATTTAAAACAAGCTAGAAGCTGCTTGCTTCTGGAGTTCTTACTTTTGTCATCACTGCAAAATGAAGCTAACCTTATCGGGTCCCTATGTATAAATAGCACACTCTTTTTTTGAAAGCTAGAATTTAAATGACTTGACAAATTCAGTACATTTTCCTTTCCTTCATCCCAACAGCTGGGCCATGCCTGACATAGCGAGAACTGGAATTCACTTACCACGGTGGGAGGGTCATTCCATTCTTCATAGGAGATGGCGGCATATGGGTAGATCCGGTCATTGATAATCTGCAGGGTGGCCAGGGCAATGGCTTTGATTGACTGGAAGTATGCTTCCCAGAACCACCGCGCCTGCAAAGAAAACATAGCTTATTCAGGGAGAGACTGAAAGAGCTGGGTGCACTGTCACAGGCAGCTTTGGGTCTGGGTGATTCCTTTACTCCCAAGGAACAGGAGCCTATACCAGTGCTCCCTGCTATTCAAGGAAATGCACACTGGATTCCATTAGACATAAGAGAAACTATGTGATAATGAAAACATCATTGTATTATACCAGAGCAATTTATAGTTTTCTGATAAAGATATATACATAATATGTAAGTGCACAGATCTTAAGTATATTCTTATGCATATATATAACCTTGTGATTGATACCCAAAGATACAAAACACTCCAGCACCCTGGATGATTCCCTGTGCTGCTTCCCTGTCACATTTCACCTGCTATAAGTAACCATTCCTGTGATTTTTTTTTTTTATTTGTGCATACAGAACTGGGGTGGCAGGCCAGAGGCTCAGGGGCAGTGAGATGCTTCACCAGAAACAGAGTGGGGAACAGAACAGGTGGATCGACGAAGTACACTGCTGAGGGGAGCAGCGGGCGGGTCAGGAGAGGTCTGCCACGCCATGTGGTCACCTCTGGGGCAGGCGGGAATCGAACTCATGCAGAAGTGGCTTTAGATTCTCAGTGCTGTGCTTTAACTCACTGCGCCACCAGGGAGGGCCCATTCCTGTGATTTTTATGTGCACACTATTGAATCTCACACAAATGCATTATTTAGTTCAGTTTTTGGTACTACGGTTATGCTGGCCTCATAAAATGAGCTGACAAGTTTTCCATCTTGTATTCTTTGAGAATTTTTATGAAAGATTGGCATTATTTCTTCCTTGAAAGGTTGAGAAGAATTCACCAAAAAGCCATCCAATCAGGTGATTTTTGGTATGAGAAATTTTAAATTATAGACTTTCCTTCACAGACATGTAATGATATATATTTTCATGTCAGTTTTGTGAGCAGTATTTTTCAGGGAATATGCTCATTTCATCGAAGTTGTTAAACTTACTGAAGTAAAAGTGTGTATTAAATATCATTAAATACCTATAGAATACAGCAGTATATACCTTTTTTCATTCCTGATATTGATAACATGCGCTTTCTCTTTACTTGATCAGTCTTAACTAGAGGTATATCAATTTTAATAATCTTTTCAAAAAACTACTTTTGGTTTTGTTGATTTTCGTTATCACATGTTTCTATTTTGATCATTTCTGCCTTTATCTTTGTTAATTTCCTTTCTTCAATTTTGGGGGATTTTAATTTACCTTGCATTTAGCTTCTTGAGACGTAAGTTTAGATAACTGATTTCAATCCTTCTTCATTGCTAACATATGCATGCAAAGCTACACATTTACTTCTCGGCCCAATATCAAATGCATCCCACACATTTCCATATAATTTATGTAAAAAAAAATCTAATTTCCATTGTGATGTCTTATTTGACCCATGGGTCAATTACAAGCACAGTGTTTAATTTCCAAATATTTAGGGATTCTTCGTTTGTATATTTTTGCTACTCATTTCTTCTTAGACTCCACTGTGGTTAGAGAACATATGCATTATTTCAATACTTCGCAATTTATTTAAACTTGATTCATAACCCAGCTTGATTCTTATTTTTGCAAAGTGCCCATTTTAAAATAATGTGTATTCTGCAGCTGATGAGTAAAATCTTCTCTCACTCCTGCAAGCAGAGTAAGTTATTAGTGTTGTTTAAATAATCTACATCTTTATACTGATTTTTTTTCATCTTCGAAGTGTACAGATATGTATATATGTGCATTTACTCTTCAAACTCTTTCAAATTTGTGCCTTTAAAGCTTACTGCAAGATTGTCTCTTGCATCACAGAAATCACAGAAATCGATTTTAATATTTAATATTGGATCCCATCCAAAAATCTCTAGCTTCCAACTTTACACATAACCCATTTATACTTTCAAGGTAACTATTAATGTGGCAGCAGTTAAGCATATGATCACTCTATTTGTTTCACCTCCTCTTTGTTTCTCTCTTTCTTCTTTCTGGCCTTTAGAATTAGTCAAATTTTATTGTTGTGTCTTCATTAGCTTGCTGGTTATTTTGTTTTCCCTCCTAGCAATTAAAATAAATAGTACTGATTTATAGATTACCCTTCATATCAGCCATTTAACAACATACAAATCACACAATAACCTCTTTTGTTCTCTACTGTCTGTTGTGCTAGTCAGGTCGTTTCCCACATACTTTTTACCCAATAAAAGACAGCTGACTACTGATTGTAACCACAGAGTCTCACTTTCATTTGACACATTTGCCCTTTCTGGTATTCTCTGTTCCTTTACTCATATCTGAATTTCCATCTAAAATGATCTTCCTGCTACGTAAAGAACTTACTTTGCTATTTGCCGTCCACTGACAGCAATGTTTTCTACGTTCATTTGTTTGAAAGTTCCTCCCCCCCACACACATCCTCACCCTGGGTCCCCATTCATTTTGGAAGGATATTTCTGCTGGGTAGAGAATTCTAGGTCAGCAACAATCTTTCTTTAGCACATCAAAATAAAATTCCACTGTCATCTGCCTTCATCTTATTATAAATCAGCTAATAAATGAGCTGTTGGTCCCACTGTTGATCCTTTGAAAAATGCTTTAATTTCTGACTGCATTTATCATTTCTCTCTTTAGCTACACCAGTTTAACTATGATGTGCACTGCATGGCCCTCTGACCACATCCCTCTAAGTTCCGGCGTGGAACTTCAACCTGTGACTTGATGCCTGTACTGTTTTAGAAAACTCTTGATCAATATTTCCTTAAACAATGGTTCTGTCATACTTTCTTCTTCTAGGATTCCAAGTACATGCTGATGTCAAATGTTTTCACCATGTCCCATATGTCTCCTATTTTCTTTTCTGTACTTTTCCTCTCTGTGCTTCAATTTTTCTGTGATTTTCCCTCTGGTTCAGCAATCCTCTAACCTGAGAGAGAAAGCATGTATCTAAATTATTAAATCATGTACTGAATTTTTCATTCCAGTATCTATATTTTTCAGATCCAGAATTTCCATTTGTCTTTTTTAAAAGTAGAGTTCATATCTTTGTTGAAATTCTTGTTTTACTGAACATCACTCCTGACTGATAAATACAATATCTAAATCGCCTGTAGGTCTCTTTCTGCTATCTGTGCTTTCTCTTCATGTTGATCATTTGATTGGCCTTTTAATTTTTCACTGGATTCAAGACGTTAAAAAGCTCAGGCCTGGGCCCTCCCTGGTGGCACAGCAGGCTACAACACAGCACTAACAAAGCTAAAGCCACTTCAGCTTGAGTTTGATCCCCACCCTGAAGGTGACCCACATGGCATGAGATCTCTCCTGATCTGCCCACTGCTCCCCTCAGCAGTGTACTTCGTCAGTCAGCCTGTTCTGCACCCC